CACACACACACACACACACACACACACACACACACACACACACACACAAAACAAAAAAAAAACAGATATGCCAGGGGCGGTTCTAGGGGTAGGGACACAGGGGCATTGGCCCCATCTGAAATCTGATTGGCCCCCTGAAGTGCCCCTGTCCTTTCACTCATCTGTCCTTGCCCAATAAAAATTATGGTGGCTGCAGTTCCAATTCCAACCACTGGAAGCGCCAGCGAGTCAAATAGGTAAGTCCAACATGAAGCAAGCTTACAGGTCTTTTTCAATTTGAAGAATCCTGCAGAAAAAAACAACAACATTTTTTACTGACAACAATGGCTAGATTTTCTTACATGTTGTGTGTTTGAAAGTATTTTATTTATTTACAGTAAAAAATCATGTAAAATTGATAAGGAGAATTTACTGTGCAAGCTTTTACAAGTGTTTGAGCATGTGCGACTGATTAAGTGTATAAACCTTACAAAAACTGGGGATTTGTGTGCAAGGATGTCAAACAAATACTTGGCCCCTCTATGGATATTGTGGCCCCTTACACTGAAAAATCCTAGATCCGCCACTGAGACATGCTGTATAAAAAAAACCCACTAAAACGCTTGACCTTATTTCCACTGGTGGCTTGTTCAGTCACTTCGGGGCTCTGACTGCACTCTGTCACCTCCACCAGAGAGCCCCGGGCTACATATAGGATTGAACGAGACTAAAGGGCCAGACAGAATGGTGATAAGAGCTTTAAAAGTCAACAGCAAGATCTTAAGATTGGACCTCAAGGACCGTGATGTAGTACAATCAAGCTAGCTACCACATGTGAGGTGGCCTGCCTGCTGATTTACAGTGCTTATAAAATACTATCTTCTATTACAGTTCTTTTAAAGTTCCCAAGTTTAAAAAGTCAGTTTCTTTATATGCAAAAATAGGAATCTGTGGTGGATGAAGTGGTTTATTGGAGTGGTAAATTAATGCATTCTTTGCTTTACAATAAGCTTTACAATAAGTGTCTTTGTGTTCATTTGTTTTCCAAATGTATTGTTTTATCTTATTAGAAAGCTGATGTTAATCAACAAATTTTTACTTAATGTTTACAAAATATTGCACAATAAATTAGATCTGCTCTGAAAAGCCTGAGTAATCAGACTAACTTGAAACGTAGATGTTAAACTCCTTAGGAGCAGCTGATTTGCACATTTTAGATGCATTTGTGCTTCAGCATGCCTGCTTTAAATGAATGTGCTGGGTTTCAACAGAAACTGATGGTATGATGAGGAGCATAACTCAGACATTTAGATCATCTGAATTGGAGAAAGTAAATAATAAAGTGGAGGGCAGTGGTCCCCTTATAGGGACCAAAGATTGGCAACCCTGCTTGAATCATTGCAAATATTTAAACTGAATAAAAACCATATAAAAATAGGTAAACCAGTTCAATCATTTATTCTATGCGATGCTTTGTAAAATAAAATGTATTTTTTATTTAGTTACATTCAGAAGCTGTAGCCTATTGGGAAGTCTTACAGTGTGTGGTGAGTTGCGCATCTTTTGTACACTGACACAACATACAGAATAAATACAGTCTGCGATTACATTAATTCCTATTCAGCTTCAAAATTGTGGCAAAGCTCAGCAATCCAGTGTTTGCTCCTCATTCACCGAATCCGCGCATGCGTCAGAGGAGCCTCCTCTGATTTGACGACCCTGGAATCGAAGCACACAGCCCACTATGTTGCAAGGCTCCCCGTTACTAGCGCATCATCGTCTGCACCTGCCTACTCCGTTGTTGCGGTCGGAGAGCTGGGAGGGGTCATTATTTCGCAGGGACCGTGGGAGGGAGGAGGCACATCCGACACACCGACAAAAGCGTGCAGCCTCAGATTCAGCACCACAAGATTAAAAGGAAGCGTCCGGATTGTCAATCTCCGGTGGGGGGGTTTCACTGAACAGGAGGACACCATTTTTATTTTTGGGGAGTGCTCAGTAAGACCGGGTGCTGTGCACAGTTTGTGGACCTGTGAGAGGCGTCATCTCCAACAGTTAAAGGTACGGAGTAGTTAGTTGGGAGAGAGAGCGCCGTGGCTTGTGAAGCTGGGAGGTTTTTCCTGGTAGCAGCCCGGATAGCATCTTACACTTACTGCACCGACTGCTAACATTTAGCTTAGGCGAGGTCCTGTGCTTTCCATTCATTATTGAGCCATATAAATGTATAGCTCATGCGCGTGGCTGCAAACATAATTATCTGCGCCGAAACACGCGACAATTCTACAACGAGATGATGCGCGGCGTTTTATTGCGTCGCCCACCCTGCTATCGAAACTGCTCTCCCCCACCACCGCTGCTATCCAGCGAGCCCGGTGCTGAAAGCCTGCACCGACTTGCTTGTTCTGGCACAGCCCAGCGACGCTGCTAGGCTAAGCTAACAAAACACCGGTCACTTGGAAATGAACATTCACACACCTGCATTTATGCCTGCCTAATTATTCAGCGGCTGGTCCCTAATTGGCACTTGGTTTGTCCATTTTTTTTAATGCAAGTTTCGCGCGACTTCCTGCTCTCGCCTTTTAATCTTTTATTAAGGTTTCATTTCTTTATCTCTTTGTTCTGCTAAGGATTGAACGTGTGTCTGCTTTCTATGGGAAGTTGATGCAAAAGTTAGGTTGCTCTGTCCTAAGCGATTCTGTTTTGTTTATTAAAGTGCCGTTTCTATTTAGCTGGACGATGCGAAGTCGCAAAGTGATGTGACATGCCTCACCCTGCAACTGCAATTACTTTCAGCACTATGWCAGCCTTAATTCATTTGTTACTTTTTAAGTGTTTGCTTAAAACTCTGAAACAGTTTGTATTTTTTTATTGTAAATTTTGTAATGTATATGAAGTGCATTTTGCATGTTTCTTGTCCATTAGCTCCATCTGAGTCAACATTAAAAGCTGTAATTATTTGAGGGTATTCTGGATTTACTACAACACTGTACAGTAACAGCATGAGTCAGGCCAAAGCATGCAGACCCAGTGCGGTGTGCCACATTCCCTTCCTGTAACTGGAGATTGAGGATCACAGGGGTTTTCAGAGGTCACATAGCTGAATATAGAGTCTGAGCTGTTGACTGGCAAGGAGGTGTGCACACCCACTCTGTTATAGGCTGCACAAATGTGGCTTTTTCTCCTCCATGTTGCCCAGCGCTGAGGGCAATGTTTTTGCTTGTGTGTGTCTGTCTGTGGCATTAAATCACYGRACATATTTTATTGAAACTTTCAGAAGGTAATCAATGAGCGTACAACTGCTCGTCTTTTAAGTTCACATGTTACCAGCTCACTTTACCTGGAGGGGGATGCCAAAGCCAATACATTGTCAACCCACCCACCACCCACCCTGCCAGATTTGATCGGGCTTTGCCTCAAAGTGTTCGAAAGTGGCTAAAACTCCTCACCTTTCACCTTAAAATGATCTTATAGTCATGAAAGGTGACCGGCAATATGCATTCTTTCAAGGAATTTCATTCTGCAAAAATGGGTAGCTCACAAAAAAAGTGACATTTTAAATAACAAGTTTTAAAATAAKTGCTAGTTTGCTTTCTTTAATATTTTTCTGTTTAATGAGATAAGAGCACTTTTAAAAGAAGTAGTTGCCACCTCCCATGACTGCAGCAGATGCGCTTTATTTTCCTACAGTATTCGGTTGACTTCTAAAATAAAATAAATTATAAATGCAACAAATCTGTATTATTTATTTTCATATTTTTGGTCAAATACATTATGATTATTTAACATATCTGTTTTAATCAACGTCAGTCTTCTAAAACTAAAGTGAATATTTACTTGCCCCTTTTTTATCTACCTAACAGTCTTTAAACAGCATTTGTTTATTATTTTAAAATGATTATTCAGAATGTGGTATTGACCACTGTTGTCTCTGTTTGCAACGCTATTCCTGTTATCTGTTGAGTTCAATGCTGTTTCAGGTGTTTTTTTAATTTAACAAAAATATGTACAAAAGGTTGCCTTCAGGCTAGGCTTGGACATAGTCGTATCGTGTGCAATTAATCGTCAGAAAAACATTAATCGATTACTTTTTGGCACTTGACGATTAATACGATTAATGCCACCAGGCAGACTGACTGGRGATTACTCCGGTCAGTCCGCTCGGTGCTCCTCTCTGCTTCAACCATGACAAACATTAAAAATAAAGTTCTGTAATTTATTTATCTATCAACACAATCTAAAATATGATGTATGGCCTGAAATCTGTAACTTTTCACACAATTTGGAACATTTTTTTACAAAGAGCAAATCTTTCCCACTAAACTGGTCATTGACTACGAAATAAGGGTGTCCAGGGACTCCAGGGGATTAATCGTCAAATTAATCATCGGCTAAATACCACAATTAATCGTGATATTTTTTTGCCAATATTGCCCAACCCTACTTCAGGCCCAGGCCTCCCTTGAAAAAGATTTGTGATCTCAGTGGGATTTGCCTGGTTAAATAATGGTTAATAATAATAATAATAATAATAAAATAATAATAATAATTGATAGATATTTTTAAACTTTATCATTTTTTGTATATTTGATCCTATTGCATTAATCAACCGTATTAATTGTCTTTCTTGCATCTCTGCAGCTTTGAGCTGCACTAACTGATAAGAAACAACCCTGTGATTGGTCAAGATGTTTCTCTCTGTGCTCTGCTTGTAATAAATTGTACAGTTTTTCGCAGCCGAGGTCAGAACTTTCTGCTGAGATCTGTCTTTAAGCGTCCTCAGAAACTTCTCACTCTTTGCAAAGAGAAAACTGTTTTAAACTGAATACTTATGTCTGTGGTTGGTTCATGTCTTTTTAAGGGGTAATTTAATGTCCACTCTGACAATCGTAATACTAATTCTTATTGTTCAAGTTGGTGTAACAATAACAAACAAATCCTGATGTTTTTGTTTTTTTTGCTTAGGAAGTACTATATCAAGTACAGAATTAGTCTTTTACTAAATATTGACAGAAGAAAGAAAAAAAGGGCAAAAGCTGTGCTTCCAGGCTGCCAAGCATGGACAGACTATCCTCTGCCCTTTGGGAAATAATTACATATGTTTATCACTGCCTCACCATCTGCCCAAGACTGTCTTTTATACACGTGTTGTTCAACCATTCTGTTTCTTCTTTCTTTCTTGTATTTATTTATTTATTTATTTATTTATTTGTTTATTTATTTTACAGTAGATTAAATCCCAAATTTGGGGTTATGTGGTTACACAACAGTTAACTTCTGCAACACATCTTTCAGTTACTGTAATGTTTAAATRACTTTAAACCTCTTAAAATGGTAACACATGTGTCCTTTGAATATATTTTGAAAAGACAATCCTTGTTATGAACACATAGGTAACAAAGCTCAAAAAAGGATGATCATATTTGAACATTAGCTCAGTTGGTATAGCTTCCCTCTCTTTCTCCTCATGTCACTATATTTCAGACTCTGACAGCCGTCTGTATTTAATCATCTAAAGGTTTTGGATCAGTTAGTGTTTGTCATGTGCAGTAGAAGAAATTGATTTATTTTTTTCAAATGAAATACAAAAAAAAAGAGAGCCATAATTCATGTGTGAGACTATACAATCAATGGGAGCCGGGCAGTGTTTTGTGTTTTCTGTCTCCTGGGAGAGCAGGCAGTATTGACTACCGAGGAACCCCTCGATGTTGTTATGCTGAAGCACGGCTTTGAGGTAGCCATGGTTCCCCCACTAAGTGGAACAGGATTGCTTGTYCTCTTAGTCCCACTTTAACTCAAACTTGTGCACACATTCTTGATAGCTTTTAGGAGATGAGGCAATAGAAGCAACACCAAACGATCGATGGTTGTAGCTTCCATGTCTACAACATCAATTTTAACTGTCCCTACCCCYGGGTTTCCACTGCTTAATGTTGTGTGTTAAACTGCAGGGGCCAGACAGCAGGGTATACTACTTTCTTATTTTACATATGATGAGATGTGATAGTATTGTTGGCTTACAAAACAGTTTGAAATRTTGGCACATGCTCAGTATGTTTAAAAAAACTATGCTTTTTATACTGTAAGCAAGAAGAGAACCCTATTGTTGAAAGATGGCGCATATTACCAACAGTGCACTGAAGTACTGTGTCAGCATGTTTGGTTCTGCAAGGATAATTAAGCCTTTTTTCTTTTAATTTATGCATTTTTCACACGACAAAATACAAACAAAACACCTTGTGAAAAACTGCTTCAGTGAACCTTTATATTCAACCAACATTCTGTAGAGATTTGTCATTACCCCAAGAAAACATAATCTAGCCACCCATATTACTCATTAGTTGGTGGGTGGATGTGGTTGAATATTTCTCATAGAAACGGTTCACAGAATATTTTAAGTCATCTTATTTTAAAAAGCTAAGCAACTGAAATAAAAAAGTACAAAAAAGTTGATACACTTTGTTACCACAGATACACCTGAGTTGTCTAATTAACTGTTGATGTCTTATGCAGCTCGAATCTTATTTTCAGGTTACAACTATATTTTTAAAGACTCGTAGGAAGGCAAATGAAAGCTGCTAACAGACCTGAAGGGAGTTTTAGGTGTAGAGCAGCTTTAAAATCAAAGTGTGGTAAATGGAGTAGAGTTAATGCAATGTCAAGCTTTGACATTTTTTAGAAGGTCCTCTCTTTTGGCTGGACCGATCTTCCWTGCTGTAAAATTTCATTGCTGTCAAAGAGCCAGATTTTTACTTTGGGCAGTTTATTTGGCGAGTTGCTGTAACGTCTCTTCTGGCTTTTGCAAAAGCACACATCTCTAAACAAGATGGTTCATTTCTTGTGATATTACAACTGGAGAAAAGAAAAAAAAAACAACAACAACACGTTTAGTCAACGTTTGTTAAACCATATTTTTCTTTCACATTCTGCTACACTTCACCCATTTTAAAGCTTGTTTAACTCGTGTGAATTCACTCGGAAAATCTATGAAAGGGTCGAGTCAGTAGCCAATGTTTCTGCACAACCAGCCATTGAAGAAAGTCAGAAATATTAGCTATACATTT